TTTTTTTTTTTTTTTTTTTTTTTTTTTTTTATTTGGTTTTATTTCAGTTTTTCTTTATTGTTTAATCTGTTTTTCTATTCTTTTATTTATATTATAAAGTTAGTTTTTTTTTTTTGCTAGAGTACTAACTATTCGGCACTTTATTTATAACGGTGGCTGATTTTTTTTTTCTAATTGCCGACAGCTATAAACTCCTCCCATTTGAAATGAGTATTTCAAATAGATTTTTTTCGGCGCAAAGGCTCTGCAGAGATTTGCTTTTATTGATTTATTTTTGTGTTTTACGAGCTTCACTAGTTTTGGCCAAGATTGCGAGGCAAGACAATCGATTGGTCTCACTCGATCGATTGGCCGATCATCTCAGGACCGAATGAGGTCAACAAAATCGGCTGCTGGCTGCAATTGGCAATTAGCGGATTTGTTCAATGTTATCTTTTTGTTTCTTCTTCTTCTCTTCTACATTGTATTCGTCTTTGTCGTTTACTTTGTAACAGACACCACACGGCGGCATCAATATGAATTCCCACAGCAACCGCAACGACAGCCCGACATCATTATTCATTTTCAAACCCATCTAAACAACGATAATTATAGAGCCGATCAATAGCTGCAAGTGTTGAAGTTCAGATACAGATGCTACGCGTAGCGCGTGCTTTGGCTCTCGAAAATGGACTGCGACAGCGTTTGATTAGATGCTTTTGTTTTTGTGTTTCTGTTTGTGTCTTTTTTTTCCGTCTTTGGATGTGGCCCTTATATACACATCTACATCGATATCGACTACTGCATACATATTGAAAGCTGACCTTAGACAATAGCCAATTAGCCATAATGGCTTTCGCTTATGGCCTCTGATGAAAGATCATTTGCAGCTGAACAAAGCTTGATGAAATTCATGACATGATTTGCATGGAATTGGAGCAGATTAACAATGCAACTATATGTATATAGCGACGTCTTAGCACCGTCGTAAAGGTTTTGAAAGCAACTACAGTTATGTTTTGGCGGAGTTCGCACATTAATCAATGATAATAATTATAGTAATAAAATTAATTTTCGTTTTTTTTTTTTTTCTTTAAATGTATATTAACTCTGTAGACTTATGTTACCCTGCATACGGTAGTCCATCAATTCGCCTCAGCTCAGCCATAATTTCTTTTACAAACGGCCTTGGACTCGCCTTGGATCTCCAGCTGCGCATTGTAAATAAGCTACTTACGGCTTAATGCAGTGGAATCTTATTAATAATTACTCACAACTGGATTGAATATCAAAATAATTATCGATTGCGATCGAAGGTGATAATACCTTTCGGGTTAAATCAACAGCAATTTATGTAGATTTTCTAATATGCTTTATTTGCACAACTTAAACTAAATGCAATGGGTATGTGTGTGTGTGTGTGTGTGTGAGAGAGAGAGAGAGAGAGGTTATTAAATAAGCTCCACTATGAAAGAAATCAAAACTTGAAGCGGCGCAGTGGTTGGTTATAGTTATAGCCCGCATTGCTACGACCAGAGGTTTGGCTCAGTGGTAGGGCGTAGGAGGGTATGGGAATGTGAAAGTTGGGCTCTGTTTGAGCCAGTTGGGGCTCAGAGTGAGCAGGAGGCAGATACTGCTGCTCCGGCTGGGCGGGTGGCAAGTAGTTGGACTTGGGTGGTGCAGGAGGCAAATAGGTTTCCTTCGGCTCGGATGGCGGTAGATAGGTGGCCTTGGGTGCGACTTGTGGTGGCGGCGGTGGTGGTGGCAGGCTTGCTGGAATCTTGGGTGGCAAGTACTTAGGCTGTGGCTTGGCAGCGGGCAGATAACTCTTCTCTGGCTCAGCGGGAGGCAGGTACTTGGACTCAGGTTGAGCTGGGGGCAGATATTTGGTACGTGGCTTCTGTGGTGGCAAGTACTCCGCCTTGGGCGTCTTCACTGCTGGTGGTGGTGGGGGTGGTGGCAAGGTAGGTGCCACCTTGGGTGGCAAGTACTTGCTCTGTGGCTTGGCCGCGGGCAGATACGTGTTGCTTGGCTTCGCTGGTGGCAGGTACTCTGGCTTCGGCTGTGGTGGCGGTGGTGGTGCTGGTGCAGCGTAGTTGTAGCCACTCGGCTGATGTTGACGCAGTGCACCAAGATGCAGATCAATGTGGAAGCCGTGATTATTGCGATGGGCGTCATGAGAGTGCGAGTGCGAGTGCGAGTGGGCGTGTGGGTCCTGGTGGTGCGAGTCATGGTGCGATTCGTGGTGGTGCGAGTCGTGATGCGATTCGTGGTGGTGCGCGTCGTGGTGGTGCGCATCGTGATGCGAGTCGTGGTGGCTGTGATGCGAGTCATGATGCGATTCGTGGTGCTGATGATGATTGCCACCACCAAAGAGGTGCGACACATCGGCCCGTCCCATCGAACAGACGGCCAAGAGGGCCAACAGGATGCAGAATGATTTCTGCAAAGGAAATGAAGGAAATTTAGCACAGGGAAACGAGTATAACTAACTTAACTAAATACCATTTCGAGTGGGCTTCTCCGATTGCCTGCTTGCTGCTGATGAGATGCAGATGCTGCTGCGCTCTGCCAACAACTGGAATTAATGTCTTGGCCAGTTGGGCCATTGGCTTTTATACAGCGATGCCCCAGCAGCGAATGCAGCTGATACTGGCTGGCTCCCAGTTTAACATTTGGGAAATATTTAATAATTACTATTGTTGCTGTTGTTGACAGAGAGATGGAGAGAGAGAGCGAGAGTGAGAGCGAGCGAAGGCCAACGCATAATTTGCCCGCTTCACACTTTTCTTGGTTTTCTTGAACTTGAAGCTGGATCCAATTATCGCCGTGTGTTTATTTATCGTGGCCTGTTTTGATAGAGCTCCCCACATATGTATATTTCGGTGAAAACAATTAAAACCAATTTTCGACTCTTAATTGAGCTCACAACACAAAAAGGCCAACAAAAATGAAAAGAAACATCAAACTCACACCATTCGCTCCACTCATGAATATGCAGAGCAGAAAATTTTCATTGGACAATTGGCTGTGATTGGAATTGAGCGATGGATATCAAGATATCAAGGGAAGCGATCAATTGGCTAACAAATGTGATTTATTTAACATATCGAGACTTATATAATACCAACGACTAGGTAAACGGGACAAACAGCATTCCGGGTCAACAGTTAGACAGTGTCAGGTGTGGTGCGCGGCGGTGCAGCTTAGAATATGAAGGGCTCGGCGGGTGCATCGTAGTGGTAGCCCGGCTCGGGGTCTGGCACAATGATGGGCGGCAGATAGGTGGGTGCCGGCGTGGGTGCTGGCGTCGTTGTGGTCGTGGTGGTGGTTGTGGTGGTGGTGGTTGTGGTGGGCTTTGGTGGTGGCAAGTAAGTGGGTGCTGGCGTCGGCGCTGGCGTAGTGGTGGTTGTTGTCGATCGCGTTGTCGCCGGCGGTGGTGGCAGATAGGTGGGCGCTGGCGTCGGTGGCGGTGGTGGCAGATAAGTGGGCGCCGGTGTGGGCGCTGGCGTGGTGGTTTTGGCTATTACAAACGGCACCACAGGCTTGGGATAATCATAGCCATAGCCATTTTCCCCCTCCAGCTGCTGCAGCGGCAAATGCGAGACATCCGCAACGGCTAGGGCCAGCGTGCAGGCCACCAGTGCTAGGCTAAGGAATGCGTTCTGCAATTAAGAAGGAAACAGAGCTCAGCTCAGCTGGCGGTGCAATGGAGTTTGGGCAGAGAGGTACGCACCATGTTACACCTTGGACTCGAAGACGTTCAATGATTGACCAATCGTTGTGGCACCTGTTTATTTATAGTCACAATTCTAGACTCGCTGGCATTGCTGTCCATGGCTAAAAAGGCCGGCCAATTATTATTATTTAAATCGATATGCCGTTGCTCGATTATTATGTATTCTCCAAATCAGTATCTGTATCTGTCCATGTATCTGTATGTGATCATTATGCACATTGTGGCTCGCTCGCTCAACATAACATAACATAAATGCTCGTCGAGCATTTTCATCAACGCCGTCATGAATCGGGCCTAAAGCCACTCAACTGTATTCTTGTCTAGCTGAGCACAATGCCTCGCTTCCGAGCTGACCAAAAGAGCATTTCAGTTGTAAGCGCACTGCGCTGCCTGTCATAAATCATTTAGACTTCATTTATAATAATTACCGAGTCTCGAGCAGCTCAAGCAGCTCGAGTGGCCGCCAAATTCTCGCGCGCACAATGAAGTTGTCTCTGAAAAGCTTGCGGAAGTCTTCGGATTAAAGAAGTACTTAAGACACACATCAAAATCACAGTGCTACCAATTCGAAATGCCCAGCTGGACGCCTACGTTTGACGTTAGCGTAAGCCTCAGCTGAAACGCCGTAACGTGCGACACATTTGCCAGCACTAAAGATTCTTCACTAATTTGTCGAGCAGACACGAAACAGTTTACATGCAGATCGCAGATCAGATGAAGATCATAAAACAACTTTGTTGCGCCTGTTGTTTCAACTATCACTTTTTGAATACCCTACATATGCACAGAGAGTTGGAGTCGAGTAGAGTCGTAGAACAGATAATAAATCAGTGAAGATCATGTAGATATGCCGTTCTTATTTCCTGATGCTGTTTCAACTATCACTGCCTAATACCCTGTACTTGATGTGACTGGCCATGATGAGCTAGTGAGAGCGATTGTCGATCAGCTTGAATAATACTCTGCTCTGTGAGTATTACAATGGTCGTAATGATCTAAAAGTCATGTGTAAGTTCAAATGTCCCTCGTTGATCAGTGATGATCATCTGGCAGTTTTTTTCAATTTTCATATTTGCATATTCGAATTTTACGTGGCATCACATAGTCGATCACTACTGCCCCCCAGCAAGCACACTTGCTTTGTTTATAGCTTCGATTTCAAGACATCTTCGTTTTTGGCTTAGCTAATTAATGCGGGTTGTTGAACCGCCAGCGGCTTTGGCTTTGATCGATTACCAAAAATTGCTTGAAAATCGATTGCTATGGCATGCGCTCGATTCGCGCTGCTCGCATTTGGCCACCATTTTGCGCAATTTGTGTAAGTGATTGAATTAAAATTGTGCACTTGCCCACAGAAATTGGTAGGCGCGGGCATGTCAAAAATTCAAGCATGTGCGAAAAAACCGCTGACTACTCAGACTGCAACCGGTTTAACAAACATATTTGTCTTTCGTTTTTATGGTTTTTTTTTTTTTTTTTTTAGTCAAAAATAAATAAAAACCAGATAGAGCTATGTGTTTATTAGGATCGAGCGCAAGAGTCACATCTTTGTGCGTGTGTATGTGTGTGTGTTTCTTTTTTTCTTTTCTGCTCAATATCGTTTTCATTCTAAGCGCTGTCCAAGGCAATCCGAGAAGCCCTTGGACGGTGAAAGGTTAACAAAGAATCGCCCTGAACGATGCTTAAGCATCAATGGGCATATTATCATATTGTCACCAAAGGTTATGGACTCTATTCAAAACCAATTCCCAAACCAAGACGAATCTTGTGTGTTCTTGTTTAAGAGATGAAGAGAATAATTTTGTCTGCAGCAAAAGAAGCTCTACTCGATGGGCTCAATTTATTATTTAGCTTTAGTAATTAAATAAATCAAAAAATATATAAATATATAGATATGATTCTGAATAATTATATACATATAGACTTATCTCCTCAATTATGTATCGGAAATGGACTTTGGATTTCATAGAGGAAGTCTGTCAGGCTCGCAGTTATTATTTTGTTGTTTTTAACACATTTTATTATTGTTTTAGTGTTTAAAGACTTTGGTAGAAACTCGTAGAAACTATCTATAAATAGCTACGCGCTTAGCTCTTGAAGCGTCTGCTGGGCACGCGATATGCGTAGCCGTGACCCTTGGACGAGGCATAGGCAGCGCTGTCATCACTAGCAGCTCTGTCCTCACTGGCAGCGGATGGCTGGGGCAGTTCCTCGGCGGCTTCGGCCTGTCCCAGTTCCGCATCGGAGGGGGCGACAGGTATGGCGTCCTGTGGGAATTCCTGGCCAGTGGGGAACTCATTGTTCAGCTCCAGTTCCAGCTCACTGACCTTGGGCACATCGTAAACAAAGCCGTTGCCCGACTTAACGAGCTGTGAGACATCCGCCCGTGTTTGATGCAGACAAAGCGCCGCCAGCAGAGCCCAAATAAACCAACGCTGATAGCCAAAACAATTATGAATACCAATGATAATAATAATAATAATAATGGAATACGTGCGATAATGGCTTACCATCTTGACAGGGGAATATGCCTATAGGACGTGAAAAGAATGTACTTGAATGCTTTATAGCTGCCAGCGACGGGGTTCAAGCGAATGCAGGCATTGGCGCCGATACCCCAACTATTTATACTTCTATATGTCGATCGTGTTTGTTTTTTAGCTCAGTTTATTAATTGCGCTGTTGCTGATGAAGCTGCTTCTGCTGCTGCTGTTGATGTTGTTGATGTTGTTGATGTTGTTAATGTTGTTGACGTTGTTAATGTGGCTGTGGCTCTGGCTGTGGCTGCTGCTGCTTCTACTGTTGCTTCTGCTTCTGCTGCTGCTGCTGCTGTTGCTTGTCAAACAACAGCAATTCGATAGTTAGAGCGGCCCTAGATAAACAACAGAGCTACATCTCTGGCTGGCAATGTTTGGGGCCATTGCTGCCAGCGCTCACTCCAATCGAAACGAATCGAATCGAATCATTGTCAAGGTCAAGACGTGTTCGGCGTTTGTGTGGGGTCAAGTGTCAGCGCGCGCTGTGGCTTTGTCTCTTGTCTCTTGTCTTCACTATCGAATTAATGATTCTATGCGCTGCCAGCTGTGCGCCAGCATCCATCACGTGTGGCAATTATGCAGCCAATCCAAATTCAAATACGACTCCACATATTCAGCACATATAAAACAGCTGCTGTCAGCACCTTCACCACGTTTCCTTTTCAATTAGCGCTTCGAGCCATTTGTCTCTGTCAACTTTGACACTTTGACTCAGCCCTCAATGGATCACGTTGAGCGTGGAGCAATCGGTGCGAGCCTCCGCCCAACTCTTACTGTCTGCAGCAAATGAAAACCAGATTTAATAAACCACCCAAACGTAGCTCTAGCTGGCTTAAAGCTGCTCTCGAAGACTTTTTGCGCTGCTCTCTCTTCTCTGAGCCGCCTTGGTCATTGTTGCCATTTTTAGTTCTAATATATATTCATATACATATTTATTTATACATATATATATTGGAAAGTTATTATTGAGTTTACTTTTTGGCTTGGCTAATAAAATATTGGTTGCTGGAATCGAGCATATTTTTAGTCGAAAATGAATTGAAGAAATTATGTTGCATATGAATGGGCTGTAGAAAAAAAAAACCATAATTTAATGATAGAGCACATGTAGGTATTAATAAAAAAAAAAATAAAATAAATAAAAAAAAATATATAAAATGAAATGAAAAAATTTCTATAAAAATAAGATACAAACGTTCTTTTTTTATTAGGTTATTTTTATTAGATTTCAACAGTAAATTTTTTTTTATAATTTTAATTTTTTATAATATATGTTTTGTTGTCACTTTTGCAAAAAAATGATAATAGTATTCTTCATTTGAAAAATAGTTTTAAAGACTTTATTGAATAATAAAGAAACAATTTCAGTCTTTAACACTTACTCAAATATTCAAATTAAGCTTCAAAAGAAAAGTAACCTGTTTGGGAAATTCGTTTTCAATCTAATCAGATTTTAAAGTTTTCTTTTGCTGTGCTGTAGAAAATTCCGAAAGTACATTTGAGTTCTTCGTTTCAATTTTTCATTATCATTTTTATTAATGTTTCGATTTTCAATTCATTTTCTCATCAGGAATTCGTATGCAAGATCTAATACTAGAGGAGGAAACTAATTACAATAGGTGTTCCTTAATATTCGAAAGATGGCTGAGGATTGTTGGGGTAGGTATAGCCGACAGGCGGCAGGTAGTCGGGCTTAGGTTTAATCACAATCTTAGGGGTTGGCTTGTAGATTGGCACCACAGGCTTAATAGTGGGCACAGGCTGGATGATGACCTTAGGGGTTGGCTTGTAGATTGGCTCCACAATCTTCTTAGGGGGCAGATAGTCGATACCGGGCTTAGCTGGGATCACAACCTTTGGGGTTGGCTTGTAGATTGGCACCACAGGCTTAATAGTGGGCACAGGCTGAATAATGACCTTAGGGGTTGGCTTGTAGATTGGCACCACAGGCTTAATAGTGGGCACAGGCTGGATGATGACCTTAGGGGTTGGCTTGTAGATTGGCTGCACAATCGGCTTAGGAGGCAGATAATTGTTTACGGGCTTAGGTGGGATCACAACCTTATTGATTGGCCGCACAGGCTCGAAATCGATTGTAGGCTTTTCATATACGTATCCATCGTCCTTTAGGATGCCGGCAGGAGTATTTGAAATTGGCTTTTGGTAGACCGCTGGAGCGGGCTGCTCGTAGATTACTTGAGTTTTCTTCTCATAGGTTACTTGAGGTTGCTGTTCGTAGATCACCTTATTTTGCTTTTGGACTACCACTGGAGCGGGCTGTTCGTAGATCACCTCTTTTTGCTTTTGGACTACCACTGGAGCGGGCTGTTCGTAGATCACCTTATTTTGCTTTTGGACTACCACTTGAGCGGGCTGTTCGTAAACTACCCTGTTTTGCTTTTGGACGATCGCTGGAGCGGGCTGCTCGTAGATTACTTGAGTTTTCTTCTCGTAGGTTACTTGTGGTTGCTGTTGGTACACCACCTGAGGTTGCTGTTCGTAGATCACCTCATTTTGCTTTTGGACGACCACTTGAGCGGGCTGTTCGTAGATCACCTTATTTTGCTTTTGGTAGACCTGGGGCACATCGATGACGAACGGCTGACTTGGTGGCTGATAGTGGTATCCATCCGCTTGGCGATTATCACTGCTGGAGAACAGGTGGGAAACGTCAGCGCTGACGGCTGCCACCAAGGCGAGGGCGATCAGGAATTTCTGCAAGTCAGGCAAACGATTGAGAGATCTTAGATAACCGATCGCAGAATAATCCGATGTTATGTAAGGCTGTGTCTCTAGAGTTCTTTGATTCACATTGTTGTTCTCCTCTTTTTGGACTTACCATTTTGCTCAGCTCCAAATTCACCCGACGAAGGTTGAAGTATTACTGCTTGGCGATCACAAGTGAGACATTATTTATACGTCGGGCCGCATCGTTTCAGGATAGCTTCGACATGCCAAAGCTGATCTTCGGCAAGAGAAGAAGCAGAATCTTCTCAAAAATAGCAACAACGGCGATGTGCCGATGCCAAAAAAGTTACCCGAACCTGATCTTGGGCTGGTTAACCGGCTATGACAGAACAACACACTCATAAAATTATTCTGCTCGCTCTTTCTTCAACAGTTGCCGCAACGATATAGATTTAAGCACAATAAAATGCCGAGTTATCAACAGGAATTCAAATATTCTCCATTCTAAAATTCAAACAGCCAAAGAGGGTTGCGTCTACCGACAGCTGAATACCCTGACAGCCGGCTGATAGCTGGCTGCACGCCTACCCGCTGGAAGTGTGAACATACCCACAGACGAGAGGGGTATTCTAATTTCAGGCGTAGACAATATGCTAAGCAATAAAACATCTATGATATTTTATTCAACAGATTTTTCTGGTATACTTATCGAACAGAGGTGCTCTTTATAGTTTGTAAAGCGGGCGTGTCTGATGTATATAAAATCAAAAATATTTGCCATTTTATGGTAATTAATGAAATACGAAATCGATATAAATGCGCGCAGGCGCGACATTTAGTATGATGTTTTATTTATGCGCGATCTGATCGCAACGCAATACAATTTGCATGAAGAGCAGTTCCGCTAACTAATCGCACTCCCGGTTGTCGCTCAGCAGAGCCCTCGATTACTCAGACAAGCCGGTGCCCAGGGCAAGCCAGCCTTGGTTAACCTTCACGCTCGGACAATGGGCCACATATATAGGATGAGATGCGTGCAAAAACCAGTTCGAAGCGAAGGGCCCTGCCAGGCAGCTGCATTCTCAATCGCAGAAATATTGACCTATGCCCATTAACTACAGTGGATCGCAATTCTCAACCCGATTATATTACTGAATGTTCTTCTTTTATTTTATCCAACTGTTAATTTGTGAGGTATCAATAAAAGCTTGCATCCGATTAGCACGCAATTAGCTTGGCTGGAAATTGGCCTTGCCAAGCCCCGAATATTCGCATTAGCCAGCTGCCGGGGCTTAAAGTTGGATGACGTCTTTCTAATCAAGCCGCACTCAATGCTAACCGCACATTGAGCTAAAACAGCATCTCATATCATTAATTCATATTTCACATGCGTTTTATGTAAACTCATTTTTCATTTTTCGATTTGACGCCTGAAAAAGTTCTCTTTACATCGCATTCGTTGCTCATCTCTCTGGACTCGCTGTAAAGCAGAGAGTTGACAACAAAACTAGTTTGCAAATTCAGCATATACCTCGCATCTTATCTCCGAGAGGCATTTTTGAATACTAAATAAGTGTTTAACATATTTTATTTATTATGTTCATAATGTTTTGTATTGTAATATATTATGTTTTCTATTAGAAACTATCTTTCTCTAGTCAACTTTGCATCTATAAATATGTATATATCATACGGGGTATCTGAGAGTCTGTTACTATCTTGATATAATTTAATTTAATGCAAAATTTTTGCCCTTTTAAGGGACTCATTAAGAACAAGTTTCTGTATGGGATTTTTCCCTCCTTAATTTTGAAATCAACATTTTTTTAGGTTAAATACAAATTATGTTTGTTGGTTAGATATTCAATATTCTGAAAAATCGATTTCCATATTGATTATAATTTTTATTATTTTGTTTTAAATAAACATTAAAGTTTATTCTTCACTTTACTACATAGAGCATATAAACATATATTTTTTTTGCCCAAGTGGAACACGTTTATGTGTGGGATTTCCAAAACCTCGTAGCCAATTAGGCACAAAATTTATGATCTCAAAATACAAATTCCGCCTTTCTGAAAAATAATTTGAAACATAAATTTTAATCTTTAACATATTCAATTAATACGACTAAATTTGCTTAACATAAGTATTTCGTGTTTACTATTATGATTTCAACTCAGGTGCTAATTAATAAACAAAATAGGGTATGTTACGGTTAAACTCGTCATCCGTATTACTCACGTAATAACTAAATACTCATTTTTGGGCTTTAAATAGAACACGTTTCCATTTGGGATTTCCCCCCTGACGGGTCAAATATTTTGTCGAATTCAGAGACTTCAGAAAATATCTTCATTTTATAAATTAATCATATTTGTTTATTTTTATTTTTTATTTTGCATTTCATTAATATTTATCTTTTTATTTTCGTTGGCAATTTGTCTGTGGCTTTACGGTTAATCACTCCGGAGATTTGACCCTGTGGGGCTTTACTCATACGCGATGGCTCATTCACTTCGACTTCTGCCTTTTGGGCTTTCCATATCTCCTCGATCATCTCTTGTTGGCTAATTGGCGAATCCACAAGTGGTTCTACTACAATCGTGCCTGACGACGACTAACTGTATCAGTTCCATTCGAGGTTTCCGGCACATAAATTGAAGCTTATTCGGGAATGTAGTCTATATTTAAGTCGGCTCGGATTACTTCATCGCACAATGTAAATGTTGAATGCCAAGGCGAATGAAACGAGTTTGTATTCCACGATAAGTTAGTAAAAAGTAAAAATCAATTAAATATGTGTATAATCATTTATATGTATGTCAATTGCACAAATGAATAGAAGCGATCAGACAAATTAAAAATAAATGTTCAAATATATATATATATTAAGTACTTATGTTATATAAACGCCAAATTAAAATGCGGCTTGTGTCAGCGCTTGAAATAGAGCCAGATTATCAAAGAGAAAAGCAATATTTGTACGAAACGAAACCAAGCCAGAGTTCTGCTCGTCAAAACAAAAAAAAAAAATAAATAAATAAAAAAAACTCAACATCGATTTAATGCAACCGGTTCTATTAGTTTCTGTGAATTTTCAGGTATTTAATGTGCATAAATTAGTATTCGACGGTGTGATTGGAATAGAATCTAATTCTATTTGTTCAAATATAGATTGTTGTGGAGCCTGTCCAAGAATTTTGTGTACAAATAAGAAAAACGATCAACAAATTAAAGCCAAACAAACCAAACTATGCTGAAAGATATAAATAAGAAAGTAACAGAGTAGACAATCGACCATTCTGTCAATGCATGCTCATTAGCTATGCAGCATATTACGTATACGCCGCATGCGTCACGAATACATTAGCGACTTCAATTTAACAGACGCCTAACATTAACTGGGCGTTCTGGTTTGTGTCTCCGCTAAGCCGGTCTGTGAAGTGCCGCTGTTAAGTGCAGCAACTGGTTTGCACATAATCTAAATAATGAATTTCGAATTGAGATGTAGAAATTGTTTCAAAGCAAAACAATATTAGCAACACAATATATGTATACTGTATATAAATTTACAGTTATTCTTTTAACGGCGAGACTCGTTTTGGAGGTTCTTATTACTCTATAGATTATTGTTTCACATTAATTTTGCATTGCGATAAAAACTAATTTTATGGCGCGTGTTATGGTTTATTGTGTCTGCTGTCCATAATATCCATATACATATTAAGTAATCCAATTTGGGTTTGGCCCAGACTACATTCACCAGCGCCTTTCTTATAAATATCTAAATCAACCCGAGTACGCCAACAATTTAACTCTGAAGCTTTGACTAAGCAACATGGTGAGTTTCCAGCTCCTCACTTGCAGGGATCAACTCCTGACTCCTTACCTAATCCAAATCGTTTCGTCTGCCTTGCAGCATTCTCTATTTGTGTTGATGGGCCTGATGCTGCTTGGTGCAGCGGCAGCCACCTTGCCACCTCTCCGCACCTACTTGCCACCCCAGGAAGACCTGGCTTCGCAGCTTGGGGGCAGTCTTATAGCCCAGCGCAGGATTGTGCAGCAGCCGCAGGTGATCGTGCAGCAGCCGCAGCTTATTTCGCAGCAACCAAGGCTTATTTCGCAGCAGCAAAAGCTGATTGTGCAGCAGCCACAAATTATTTCGCAGCAGCCACAACTGATTGTGCAGCAGCCAAGGCTTATTTCGCAGCAGCCACAGGTGATTGTGCAGCAGCCAAGGCTTATTTCGCAGCAGCCACAAGTGATTGTGCAACAGCCAAGGCTTATTTCGCAGCAGCAACAGCTCATTTCGCAGCAGCCACAGCTCATTTCGAACCTGATTGAGCCTCAGCTGATTTCGCGTCGACGCATAGTGCCCCAAGTGCAGATCCAGCAGATCCGTCCTCAGATTATCGCCCAGCAACCTATCCGCGTATTGCCCCAGGTCCAGCGTAAAATCGTGACATCCACTGTGTCGCTGCCGCAGCAACAGGTGGTTGTGGCCCGCCCCCAGATCATTGCCCAGCAACCAATACGCGTATTGCCCCAGCGCCAGCGTCAAATCGTGTCATCCGTTGGGTTGCCGCAGATTCAACCACAGCTATCTCGCACATATTTGCCACCTCAGGATATACTTGGCTAACTCCAAAAACCCACACAAAATGTATTTGCATATATGTTTTTATACACATACATATATGCATATCCGTCCGACGTCGGTTGGCTAACTGGTTTCGACCCGAGCCGCTAGCCATTTTCAAATGCTAATTCTCTTACTAGAGTTCTTCTGTGAATGCAGAATATATTTCCAGTTGATTTGCATTTTGCCGAAATTGTCAGATAATAAAGAAAGATAATAAAGAAAACGAAAAACAAAAGCGAAACAAATATTTCTATTGTTCAAATATAACATGGACTAAACTAATAACCATCGTGTAAAGAAGACAATGCCCAAGAGAGCGTGTATAAATTTGATCTTAGATTACATAATAGCATCACAAACATGCCAAACATTAAACCCATTTAGCTATTGCTCTATCATAAATTAGCATAATCTACGATTTATTGCAGTGTTTAAGTAGACTTCATCACTTGCTCTATGATCTAGCTCGATCCATATTTATCACGCCGCAGATAGTCCGTTGTTAATTGAAGCCGAATCTGGTTTTTGATTCGGACATAAATTTGCTTGGATAGCAAATTCCATTGCGATGGCCAGCAACGAATGGGAGGTATTAGCTGGTGAATAGTGTAGCCACTTTTTGCACGCCAAGTTCAATGGATGGGACCATCCGTCAATCCGTTTTGATTGATGATGTGCATTATTTCCGTTGTTTGGACTCGCTTCTATATAAAGGCCTCGCCCGGCTACTGAATAGTGATTATTCGTTACTTCAACTCAATAACACACGGAACTTCGCCGCTTCTAATGGTAAATACGATCCTCAAATATAGAATTTGTTCTCAGCTATAGAGACTCTAATTGCAGCAATTCTATATCCTGGTTCTCGCCCTGGTGGGCTGCGCAGCTGCCGATGGGGGCTACAAGTATGCGGCTCCCGGCTCAGCTGTGGCTGCTTCAGTTGCCGCTCCTGTGAAGGCATATGTGGCACCAGCTGCTGTCTCGGCTGCAGTTCCAGCTACTGCTCCTGCTCGTAAATATGTCCCACCTGCTCCTGTTCCAGCTCGTGCTGCTGGCCCAGCTCCTGTTGCTCGCGTTCATCTAGCAGCTGCCTCTGCTCCTGGCCAAACTTTTGCCGCTGCTGAATCAGCTCCTGCTCCTGCTCGCTCTTATGTGCCACCAGCTCGTGCTGCTGCCCCAGCTCCTGTTTCTGGCGTTCATCAAGCAGCTGCCTCTGCTCCTGCCCAAACTTTTGCTGCGGCTCAAACATCTCCTGCTGCTGCTCCTGCTCGCTCTTATGTGCCACCAGCTCCAGTCGCCTCACGTCCAGCACCTGCACCGGCTCCCACTGCTGCAGCTGCTCCTACCGCCCAGGCTCGTCATTATGCAGCTGCTTCTGCACCAGTGCAGTCCCTTGCTGTTCCAATCGCAGCTCCTGCTCTTAGTTTCCAGTCTGCCGATTCCTCAGACTCCACTTTCGAAGCAGCTGCATCGGCTCCGGCTGCCGCCCATGCCGGCTACGAATACCGAACTGTGCGTCGTCGCATCTACAAGCATCGTGCATAAAGAGTTTACTCAAACAATTTGAATAAATTGATTTGCAATCAGATTTATCAACAATAAAATTATAATAATAAAAATATGAATTTAGCTATCTGTTTTTGTTGATTTTGAGAAGCTATTGTTTGCTTATAATAAATATAATCCGTTTATAAACTGGAATTAATGTTGAGGAATATTTTATCATATGCAATCGATCGATGATTGTGATTGAAATATAATATTAATATATAATATTTATATTAGTGGATGGTGTCATTTCTCTGTTTGCAATGTTTGGTAAAAAGTTTATTCTAACTCCTATCCTATAGCAAACCAAAGTATATTCTTTTTATTATCTTTTAGCCAACTCGATTTCATCATCCAAAGTGCATTAATATGTTTTGCAGTGTGTTTAATGACTGCTCAGTAGCCGAGTGCGATTGTTATTGCAAGTATAATATTATTCAAGTATAATAAAATATTCAGCAGACGAAATTCAAATTGACTATAAAGCTTTCCAAATTTGAATTTATCAAGCTAATATTATTCATCAAAGCAGTTCTTGTTTTAATGATGATGAGTCGATTACCTAATACCGTGAAGTCAAGTCTACTAACATTTTCGGCAGTGTGTTGCTTCTTTGGGTTTTCGCCACTTTGGAAGCTAACAACCTCTGCTGCGGCATCGGTGTGTGCATCTTGATTTGGTCCATAAATCGAATAGCCTTTGATTTGTGAAGCTTTGTGGCGGGAGGCGGTGGCTTTGTCTTTGCAGCCTCATTTGTGTTTAAATGGCGAGCATTCAATACAACAAATGGGTCGACGAATTTCTCACGATCGGCAACTGGTTTCACGCCACAGATGCCACTGAAAGTGCAGTGCACTCAAAGAAGAGTGGCGAGAATTTTCGTATATAATTGGATTATAATTTCCAAGTAGAGCACAGACGCAATGGTAAGAGCAAAGCATGGAATATCAACTCGAGGTCTTTGCCAAATGCAGCTCTATCCGTTTCATTTCTCTGATAGGATCCGCTGAGACTTCTGTTGGTAGGCCTGCTAGCTCTGGGCTGGCTGTGCGAGGTGGCACCATCGAAGCACCATCGCCAGTACGAGGACGATGAGGATCATCAGTATCTACCGCCGGAGGAGGAGCATATCCTGAAGCCGTTCTTCCGCAAGGACAAGCACACGAGTGAGCATGTCGTCTACCACAAAGGCGAAGAGCATCACGAGCCCAAGCGCGTGGATCACTACCACCACTACGACAAGCAGCCGGACCTGAAGACCAACCACATACACTACCAGCAAGCGGTGCCACAACTGCGCACCGCTGACCTCCTGACCGCTGCTCCCTCACAGATCGTCACCCGCCGTCGTCGGCCCAATCGCGTGCTCTATGCAAGCGCACCCAACTCTGTCTTCCATACGCAGATCAATGTGCAATCGCAGGACTCGGAATTGAGCTCGCAGATAAGTGCTGATCCTCTTGTGCCGGGGATCATAATACCCACGGGTGCACAAGCTCCTACAGGTGCTCAAGCTCCTACCGGTGCACAAACTCCTACGGGTGCTCAAGCTCTAACGGGCGCCCAGGCTCCAACTGGTGCACAGGCTCCAACGGGTGCCCAGGCTCCGACTGGTGCTCAAGCTCCAACGGGTGCTCAGGCTCCTGTAACTTCTTTGCCCAATTGCCAGTTCCCAGTTGCTGGAAATCCGCCCATTGGCTGCCGCGACGCTGGCCCAACCGCTGCTCAATTAGGAGCTAATGCATTACCAAATGGTGGACAATTGCCAGCTGGAGCACAGCTGCCTGCCAATACTGGACTTCCACCTGGAGGGGCACAGCTACCAGCCAATGCGGGAGTCCCACCTGGGGGCGCACAACTTCCAGCTAATGCTGATCCCCCGGGTGGCGCACAACTGCCAACTAATGCTGCGCCACCAGGTGGCGCACAGCTGCCAACTAATGCTGCGCCACCAGGTGGCGCACAGCTGCCAACTAATGCTGCGCCACCTGGTGGTCAGTTGCCAGCAAATGGATTTCAGCTAAATGCCCAATTACCATCAATTGGTTTCGTTCCCAATTTAGGCAACGGCAATAATCTCTTCATAGATCCCGCCCGAAACGGGTTTGTCAATCAGAATCTATTCGTTCCAGCTGTAGGTGGAGGTGCCTTCATAAATGGCCAGGCTGGCGGGGTGGTGCAGCGACCCGGTTCGGTTGTCATACAAATCGATCCTGGTAATGGAAACACCAATCAATTTGTTCCGCTCCTGGGCACGCAGCTGGCTGTTGGTCAGCCGCAGAATGGCTTCATTCCTGTTCTGGGTGCACAGCTGCCAGCTGGAGGCCAGGCACCAGCCTTTGGCAATGGCAATCCGATTCAGGGAGCACAGCTACCAGCTGGAGGGCAAGCCCCAACTCTGGGTAATCCTGTTCAGGGTGGACAACTGCCAACTGGAGGACAAGCACCAAATCAGGGCAATGGCAATCCGGTCCTCGGAGCACAGCTGCAATTGGGAGGTCAAGCGCCCAATTTTGGCAATGGTAATCCTTTCCAGGGGGGACAGCTTCCAGCGGGAGGACAGGCAACTGCTTTAGGCAATGGCAATCCTGTTCAGGGAGGCCAGTTACAAGTTGGAGGACAAGGGCCAAATTTTGGCAATGGCAATCCCGCCTTTGGAGTTCAGCTACAAGCAGGGGGTCAAGCGCCCAATTTTGGCAATGGTAATCCTGTCCAGGGGGGACAGCTTCCAGCGGCAGGACAAGCGCCCAATTTTGGCAATGGCAATCCAATACAGGGAGGACAGCTTCCAGCGGGAGGACAAGGGCCAACTCTGGGTAATGGAAATCCCGTTTTCGGTGGTCAACTGCCAGCTGGAGGACAAGCGCCCAATTTGGGCAATGGTAATCCTGTCCAGGGAGGCCAACTGCCAGCCGGGGGACAAGCGCCTAATCTTGGAAATCCTGTTCAGGGAGGACAGCTGCCAGCGGGGGGACAAGCACCAGCTCTGGGCAATGGTAATCCTGGAAATCCTGTTCAGGGAGCCCAATTGCCAACAGGAGCACAAGCTCCAACTCAGGGCAACGGCAATCCACAGCTGCCATCTGGGAACAGCAATCCCGTATTGGGTGGCCAATTGCCTGCAGGCGGCAATGGAAATCCAATCCTAGGCGCTCAATTGCCTACTGGAGCACAGTTCTTTACCCCCGTGCTTGGTGCCCAGTTGACAGCCAATGGAAATGGAAATGGCAATCCGAATCTGGGCGCAGTGACTGTACGTCTGAATGGACGGCGCAATGGACGCCGCTGGCGCAATCGCAGCAACTACCAGGGCCTCAATGTGCTGCGCGGTAATGTCTTCGGTCACCCAAATCCGCAGGGACCCACGGGTGTTGTCGGCAATCATCAGGATACGAACATCATCGATGGCAGCTTCTACAGCTATCCGGGTCAGAGTCGCATGCTGGTCCGCTTGAATGGCAATCAACGCTCAGTGCTGCTCACCGATGGCGACTACTACGACGATGACGATCCAACAAATATTGGCATTGCCGCCAGCTCGCCGGAGCTGAGCTATGCAGCGCCTCAGCACAAAGGATCTCGTCACAGGGCCAGCTCCACTGCGTCCGAGCATGGATATAACTACAAGAATCCCAGGCATATTAAATGAATCTACCTAACTCTCTATAATGTATAATACGTACTTCTAAATATATCACAGCAATTGCTAAAAGAGCAGAAATCGAATTTTAAAAACTGTTGCCTACTTTCGGGCGGTCGTTGTAAAAGATGGCTTCATTTCCGCTTATGGCAGCGCCAAGCTTCGAAGCTACTGTTGGCTTAACCTAGTTAAAGCTTGTGTACTGAAGCTTTTTGGGAAAGCTTTATACTGCACTACAAAACACTTTTGGGCAGAGATGACGGAATTAACAATATAACAGATAAATCATAGATGATATAGATTCGTGATCATGCAAACAAACAAACATTACCAATTTTTATTTATTTTTCTTAAGTCGACTTGACTTCTAATTCGTTTAAATTTAATCTAAATTTGCTTAGATATTTTATTTTACTATTATTATTATTTTTTTTTTTAGTTTTAATAAAATAATGGCCTAAAGAATTCCAAAAATTGTAGTCAGATTGCTTGAAACCAGGAAATAATTTAGGCTTATGAGAAACCTCTTATGATTGATGATTAAGATTCTATATATAATTCTACGCCGCGTTGAAAAGCTTTCTTTTTCATTAAAGTTTCTTAAGATGAGGTAATATTAAGAGAAACATCCAAGAAGCAAATCCAAGCAAACAAAAAGATTTAAAAGTGAACCATTTGCCGAACCACTTAAAATTCGCTATTTGTCACATTTTAGGTAGCTTGGTCATTTCAGTGTCTTCCTCACGGTAGCTTCAATAGCGGAAAACGTTAAGTGTGTGTATAGGAAACTAGTTCAGAGCTGTGCAAGATTTGCAGCACAATGGAAATAGATACACACAGGTCATGCAAGTTTTTGGACATAATGGAAAGGAAGATGAGCACGAAACCAATTGCCGGCATAAATTAAGGCGTTCATTTAGATACGATTCTCATGCAAATTCAATAAACCAAAAAAAAAGTCAATGTATATACTGTATACATGAAAACAAAAATAAACATAGTTTTGCCCAATCGACTGTGTAAGGAAAAAACCAACAAGACTACAATGATTTAAATAAAACTTGGAGCTGGAGATGTACAGCTCCCAAGTTAGACCCATACAATGAATGATTCACAAAGCCTATAGACAGGGCCTTAGACGTATCTATGTGTATATTTATTTATTTGTCTATATGCATATAGTTTGTTGGTAAACTAAGGCGGGCCCTCGCTGATCAATGTATTCAGTATAATATGCCTGTTTACATATCAAACCAAATATTTGCCATCGAGCTCTTAAATCATAGTCAATTGTTACCGACATGCTGCTGGGGATTGACCTACCTGTAGCCGCAGCATCATCATCATCTGTAGCCGCATCATCAGTAGCTGTAACAGTGGCTGCAAGCATTTCAAATGCAGAGTCATTAGCAATCGGGTCGCTTAACAGCAGGCGATCTCTTGGGTGGCTGACCTCTGCTCGAACGAATTTCGAATTATGAGTAAACTATGAAAGACATATATATTATATAATTTATCAATAATTTTGTTAGATTAGCGTAAATTAATCTCAGTAATAACTTCGAATCATGTACATTTATTATGAAGAGTCGCTGACAAACATTTGTGGCCTGTTGCTGCTTACAGAAATAGATTTTTCGAAAATCTGTGCGAATTTTATGCTTTTTTTTCTGGCGTAGCTTTGTCTATTTTGTTTTCTTCTTCTTTCAGTTTTCTTTGTTTTTGTTTTAGATCTATGCAAAGCGAGTGCGGCACAGTTAGAGCGGGAGGCTGAGAGTTCAATGATCTCATTTCTATGGCTGGATAATTGAGCAAGCTGCGCTTAATTGGCACATCGGGTAATGTATATACAGACATAAAGCTATACAGATAGATGAGCTTCAGCTTCAGCTTCATGAGGTGTTCTGTAAGCTTGTAGGTTCTGTGTGGGAACTGGCCAAAAGGGCTGCCCGCCGTCGCTGACGTCATGTCTAAAAACCTTAACGATCGACTGACAAGTGATTAATTTGTAGTACTGAAGCCAGCTGAAAAACGCAATTTGATGCCTCGCTCGAGCTGTCCCCGACGCCCTCGCTTCGCTGGCCATCGATCGACGCGTCGATCGTAGCTGTGTGGGCCACCAGCATATGTGAAACAATAAATAAGAGAAACAAATTTGAAAGGAACTTGGCAAATTTCTTGTGCCACGCGTATGAATTTTTAATAGCCCAGCCGCGTGTTGGAAGTGTGCGAGATTATTATAATTCTATTTATGAATCTGTGGATTTGTTGCCTTTTTTCGTTTCGTTTCATTTTATTTATTTATATTCTGTTGAAGATGAGATCCATGTCGCTGTCGGCACTTTCTAGTCGCTGCCGCAGATCGCGCCGACAACATTTGAAGCAAGAAAGACTGCAAACTGGTTTCCCGAATGATTTATCATGCATTTAAATTAAACACAACAAAATGAGCAGAAAAAACAAAAGCTTAATTTATCATAAAAGACTAAAACGTGTACTTAACTAACAACAAAAAATGCAAGCAGAGGCAGCTATACTCTATTCTATTAAGTTTTAATTAAGATGTTAAGTGCACATTAAAAACTGGTTTATAATAATTAAATTTATGTCCAAATAATCGTAGAGCCTTCACACTAAACCGAAGCAGATTTTACTTTACCAAATTTATTCGATTTTAAATTTGGAGTTTTTGGATTTAGATATCGAATTTCATTTGGTATATGGAATCTTTGCTTGACTTGGCGTGGGGTCAGTCCACAGGCACGCGTTAATAAATTACTCACAATTATTTCATTAAAATATGAACAAATTATTTAATTGTAGTTGACAAAAAATAGCCCAGCCACAAGGCGTCGCTCAAGGCAGCATCATTTGAGCACGATCATCAGCTGAATTCCTAGCAATTTTATTTGACTTTGCGAAGTTGCACTCAATGCCACAGCTGTTGGGCCCAACGGCGGTTAGGGTATGCGATTAGAAAACTAAATTAAGGCGCGCGTGTGAGTGCCGCTTGAAGGAAGCGACACGATGTGAAAGAGACTCTCGCTGTTGCTGCCCGCTGTTCGATGCTCGATGCTCGATGCTGCTTAAACCAATGCGAATAATATTAATTAAAATAGAATTTGCATAAATTAAGTCGGCGCAAAAAGGTTTCTGTTAGACAGAGCGACGCTGTTAACAACAAAAATGAAAATAAAATGGAACAAAAAGTCCAAAAATAAAGAAAGAACTAGCGAAATGAATTAGACAGTCTCGCAAAGCACAAAACTCTATGGGTAGATCAACTGAAGCGTGGCTGGCTTAAGGGCGACCTGGTCGAGTCTCTGCGCGTACTAGTTAATATGGTTCAGTTCGCGCTTCGGGATCCACCGGCTTCTAATGAGAAGCGTTTGATTTAAGTCCGAGCTGGTCGCACGTTTATTTCGTTGGCAGACCATTTTATGTTTAATGGTCATTATGATGTCTTTTGTATTATTATATACATATATTCTTCTTCTTGTTTATTTATTTATTTATTTGTTGTTTGTTGTATTTTTTTCTGGTGTGTTCTCGATTCTGCGATAGTCGGCGGGACGAGCTTAACTGCCATTCACTAATTTGCATATTTATGCCATTTCAGCATAAACATTAATTCCGAAATGGCACTTTTAAGTGCTTGGACCGGCTGCTGCGATGAGACAACGCCATCTAAGCCATAATAATTACGCCTGTGATGTATTGTCCAGCAACATTTATGGCCAACTGAACCAGTACAACAAACATAATGCAAAACCAAAAAAAAAAAAAAAAAAAAAACATGACAACAAAAAATAAATAAATAAGACTATTATATATATTGGGTTAGAACCAAATAGTAGTTTTGAATAATAAACACTTCTCGCTGCCCATAAACTAGACTAGAAGATAAGCTTCGATTCGAATGCCAGATTTGATTGTACATTGTGTTAGGGCCCCATCAATTGGAACTGGAGCTGGGGCTGGGGCTGGAGCTGGCGATTTGTCGAGAAATACAGGAAATCGAATTAATATTGTCATTGTTTAATTTGTATAGTTTTGGTTAACGGCGACAAACAAGAACTCTCATTCGTGTGACGTGTGTGCGGATGCATTGAAAATAAATGTAAATTTTTGATGGTCGCCACATTTGCTTTATAGCACCAGTCAATTAGCCAAAACTTGTCTATCAGCTAACCAAAATATATTTGTTTGTCTATAAATCCAATTCTATCATTATGATCGTTCTCTGGAGAAAGAGAAGCTGGACTTATCTAGCCTTGACTTTGACTAGTAGTTGAGTCAATTGGCGAATTCTAAGTACCAATAGAAACACTTCAGCGTTTGGTCTTTCCCCTGCGAATTCATCCTTCAAACGGTCCGGAACCAATTAGTTCTTGGCGCCTAACTAACGAGCCTAACTGATGCCAGCGATGGCACAGTTTAGCATTGAGACTAGCATATCGCTTCCCATCTAGTCAAATGTTTGCAATTCCTTTTCATGTTGCGCTTTGCACAGATCACATATCATTAATCATGCCAATAGTTGAGCTGCGTGGAAGGTAATCTGTGCCTCAAATTAAGTTATACACACTGAAAAAAAATAAATGTAGCTAAACTTAATTCAAGTTCTATATCGAAATGCATTGATAAACAACTTTTGACTTGGATAGACAACTTTTGATATTTCGAATATGTTGACTTGATTTTCAACATAGTCAACTATTTTCTCTTAGTGTAAACTCTTTTGTATGCCTTATAGTTTGTTGATTTCAAATTTATTATTGTTGATTTGCGGATTCGTAGTTAGATTGCAGATAAGAATTGTCAACAAATTAATAAAACTTAACTATTTGACACGCGATCTGGCAAATTTCGAAGGGGAGTTGCACAATCTGTAAATACGGTTTCGCAAATGGGTCCGAGCATTGGCTGGGGATCCATTTGGTGTCAAAGTGTGAATGGTAGTCAACGCATAATATCCGGCATTTAATTTACGCACTAGATAAATCGAAAATGAAATATGCCATCATTATAAAATCTTTTTGAATGGAATTGAATGCCGCGCTGTTGCGGCAGTTCCTTTAAATGATTAATGAACAGCGACGACACGGCACAACAATGGAAACAATAAGCCAAGGCACAATAAACACAACATATGGGCATCATAAGTACTTGAACATGTGTATAAATTTATATCGATTGATTGAATAGGCGACTTTAATTCGCATCTCATTTGAATGAAAATCTAAAGAGAAGAAGTCAACAACAACAACAACAGCAACAACAACATCAATAACTAAATCAAATCAAATTTTGGCTGAAGCAAACGAAAACTATAAACATATGGATATATACATATCTGTGTTGCGTGTGCTTGTGCGTGTGTGTGTGTGTGCTTGTTGTCCATCAAATGTTTTGCATAAGATTAAAGAAAACAATTAAGAGAATCCGTCCAACCGAATTGGCTAAGCTCGTTGTGCGAATGTAAGCGCTGACGTCGACGCCGACGTCGCAGTCGCTGCTGCCAGCTCGTCTCTGAGCGAGTTTGCCAAGCGAACGTGGTCAGTTAATTGGAGCCGCTGAAATGGCTTAGAACTCGTGCAGAGTCTGGCCGTGCGAAATTTACAGACAACGCCGGAGATGACGACGACTACGACGTCGACGTCGACGTCGACAGCGGCAGCGACTGAGCTGGCGAAGGCGACAGCGATAGCAATGCAGGGCAGACAGCACTATTACAGCGAGAAGAATTTGTATAAATACCAAAAGGTTCTGCGTATTTCTTCATTAGAGTTTCGGTTTTACTGTAGTGAACAACTCAACTTCAGCAGTCAATATGGTACGCATCATATCTCGAGCTGCTACCGCTCATCCAAACACAAACATATCTCGTGGAATATTCGACATCCCAGTCTTAACCAAATCAAATCTCTTTCTGCTCAACAGAAACTTTTCCTCGTTGCTTTTGCTGTGATAGCAGCTGTGGCCGCCGATGTCGCAAACCTGCCCGTCAACGAGTACTTGCCCCCTGTGCAGCAGGATGTCCAGACCGTTGCTCTTCCCAGCAACGAGTATCTGGCTCCAGTCAACCAGGAGCCAATCAACCAGGGCTCCCTGGACATTGATGGATACCGTTACAAGACCAACCGCCGCTTGGTTGTCCGTCGCAACCGTCGTGATGTGAACGAGCTGCCCTCCAACGAATACCTGCCCCCAGTGC